GATAGATAGAGACTTTATTGATTCCAAACAGAGAAATTATTGCAGTCATTGCTCAACACATTTTGATTTGTAAATGTACAAATCACTTGATCTATTCTACTTTTTCACTTCATGTGGTATCTGGACAACTACACATGCAACAAGTAAAAATCAGGTACTCATTTTCTACTTGTGAAACAGAGCTTACCTCCCCTCCCAAAGAGGTGTAGAATCTCCTCTGTTCCTTTTTACTCATTCGTTTTAGGGCCATATTGACTTCTTGTCACCATAAACTGCAAATGGAAATAAGACACAACAGACATTAACAGTGAGAGTGATTCTTTAGATATCCAAAAGGAGAATCCTTGCAGAAAGGAGTGTTCTTTTCTAAATCTTAATATTATGCTATGTCTACTTTCAGTATTATTTACAGTATGTTTACAGTGGAGCAGTGTGCACATTCAGCTTGGGCTCAACTAGCCTTTATCAAGCTGAGTCTGACAGCCCTCATTACACAGGACTGTAGCAAATCACTGATAACCAGCTTTTCCAATGAAACAGCATGACTATTATGAACACTATGGCATGTGCTTGTGCTAAGCCAATTTATCTTAACTTTTCAGCATAAACACAAGTGTTGGATAGTGTGCCAAGCCATGTCTTGGGTGCAATATGTTAACCAACATGCTCATTCAACATTAACTTCAGGTCAATAACAGCTTCATAAAAACACAAGATGACAAGATTCACCACAAACTGACAAATAGATCATTCTTTTGGCATTTTCTTCAGCCTGGCCATGGAAGGTCAGAGTCTCAATGCTTCTACAAGTGTTATTAAGTACTACCAGTAAGCCAAGTTTCGCAACTGAATAAAAAAACAAGATCAACTAAGATCCAAAGGCATCTCTTCTGACAAATTACATAGAATTACAGAAACATTAAGCCAAAATTCAACACTAGCTTGGATGGTATAAATACTTTTTGGTCATTTACTTTAGGATTATTTCTCTACTGTCCTTTGTTGTCAGAAAAAGACTGGACGGTTGACTTGAGTACTTAAGAAACGTGCAGATTTGTCAACTAATAGCTTCTTGTGTTTACTGAAAATGGTCAAATTCAGTTAATCAGAAGCTACATTTTATGGAGCATGAAAAACTTAAATGGCCTATCAATTCCTACATTTACGCAAAGGGCTGTAAAACTAAACCTAATGATGACCTCAGCTAAACATGCCTCACTAACCCACAAATCCCATGTTCAATCACACCCCTCAGGTTGAGAGGGCCTTTGTGTGGTGGAGTTAGTCGCTTCATTAACACCTGAATTTGTTCGCAAAACATGGATTTATCTTATAATGACGAATGGATGTAATCATTTAAATTTTGAAAATAAAATTTCAAAGAACTTTACAAAATACTTGAGGGAGATTGGACTTTAATGCAGACACTACTTGTAAAATAATTTAAAGTGAAATGATGAAATTAAGTTGGTGGACAGGCTAAATCAAGACAGAAATTATTCTGATGAGAGTGAATCTGGGGTATATGCAATGCTATAAAAGTTAAGGAGTTGACTTTTATGGTTCATCACAGAAGTGAAGTTCACTTCTGCAGCTGGTATATGTTTATGCACTTTTATCCAAAGTGACTTACAATGCAAAACTCTGCCTAGAGTTTAAATGAGTTTTTTTTTTCTGAAATAGTTGATTCAGGCATAATAACAAATAATATTGATGTTATAATTAGTTCAATCATTAACAGGTCAGTTTAAAAAAATGGAGAAATAATCCCTTATGGGTAAGAATAGAAACAAATAGAAAGAACTTAAATAAAATATCATGACAATATCCCACGTTACATATTTAGATTTTTGTTGACACCATAACATAGAGGAAAAAACACTAAATAAACCTAATGGAATATCACTGATTTAAAAATGCTGTTATATGACAAATGTGTGGTGTCTACTGGTGTTATTTTCTGTTTGTGGTTTAGCTTTTAGACTAAATTGTCAACATTTGATACACTTGAAATTGAGCTGGCATAGTTAGAGGTCAGTATTGGTGATTGTAAAGTTAATAGCCACCTCAGTATTGTGATGAATAAATTAAAAAAGAAAAAAAAATACGGTGGGACATAAGTGAATGAACCTGACACACTGCAGCTCTTCCTGCTCACGCACCCGCAGAAACAGCAGCAAAAACCGGCAGGTGAAGAGCAGTGAGAGGAAAAGTCCTACCTTGGACTGCAGAATTGGGCAGTCTCTCAGAAGCCTGGACAAAAACAACACATTCCCGTGAAGCGTCTCACCAGGACCCCCCCAAACACCAGCAGCCCCCGGCTTGTCCTCTCACATCTTTCCGCATTTCCCCTTCATAATGATCCGGTCCTGTTTTGTATGCGTGTGCATGGAAACGCTGCTGCCGGGGCGCATGCGCACTTCGGTTCTAAGAGCTGGCATCAGGAGTTGGAAAAACCGCATAACTGTGAAATCCCGAAAAGAGTCATCAATTATTATCTTACTATTATTCCAAACCTGTTTATAGCTATTATAATTGTTCTCTTAAAACATACATTTGACCGTAATTTTCAATTTCCAGCATTTATTTATTAATATGTTGGCACCGACGTGGCGCCGTTTGATTTTATGAGGTCATGTAAACAAAACTTTTTTCTCTTAATTAACGGATAATTCTTCCCCTAACATATGCCTAAAACACACAGTGTTTTTAAAAGGAAAATCTTTAGAATTGATTATTCTTTTGGATTCCGCAGCGGTAACAGGAGGAGGAGGAGGAAGAGGAGGAGCCCAAAGGGCTGAGCAGGTGGTGTCCATTTACCTGGCCAGCAGCTGAGTAATCCTGGAGGAAAGACAAAAGTGTGAAAGCTGAACCTTTGAACCTCACACTGTGACAAACGTGTGATAATCACACTTAGAATTAAATAAATTTAAATCTGCTATTGGAACACTTTGCCTTCAGAGATGCTCCATCAATTTACTTCTTAATGCATTATCACGAGAATTTATGTAGCATATTACAATCAAAATGTTTGTCAGCTGTCACCATGTCTACCACACCAGCATTTTAACCAACTGAGTCATAAAATTTAAGGAAAGATTGACTAGAAAAAAGCAGAACTCTCACAGAACACAGTGTATATTTGACCTTTATGAATATTTTCTCATCCCTGTTGAAATCAGGGCCAGTTTTCTCACAGGGGATATCATCAGCCTCTTAACGTGCTTGTATGATCTTCCATTAAAGCCATCAAAAAGTGGTTTGGATTCATAATGCCAAATGTAGGCCTATCATATTTGATCCGGTTTCTGAAGTCTTTTGGATCTGAGACTTTCTGCATCATTCAGTGGTAAAAGCTTTGCTCAAACCCCTGTTGTACACATTCAGATATACCTGATAGCAGCCAGTAGACTACACCAAAATAAATTTTTGACTTATTGCAATCAAATTTGGTCAAAATAATTTCTGTTTTTTTTCTTTATATGTTGTTGAGGGGCCAAAGAAAGACTTCAGACTGAAAAAAATCCAACATTTTTCCTATTATTCTTGGATCAGGCTTTAAAGGGTTTGCAGGGCTTTGGTTTTAAAGGACATGTCTTTGATTAGGGGTTAGAACAGTATGAGTGCGGATAAATGAATCCAGAATCAAAGAGATGACCCCAAACCCTGGCCTCATAAAAAAAGAAAATAACACTTGACACAATGCTAAGACAGGGGGGAACCACTCCAACTAATCCTGCCCCTGTATCTGCCATATCAACAGCCATTTAAGGCTCTTGGACCCAATCAATTCCTGACAGAGGCTCAAGAATTAAATATCACGCGAGGTAGACGTGGGACATACGTAAGATATCACGTATCTTAAAAAAAAACCCCAGTGATTGACAGTTTAGCTTGTAAAATGGGTGTAATCATCAGCCCCTCTCAGTGTCAACACCACAACACGTACGCTGTCAACGCTGCTGCTCAGTGCGCATGCGCTCCCTCATCCCTCTCCCCTCTCTCCATCTATCGGTGAGGTTCTGTTCCATACTTGACAGCTGGCGGCGAGTCATGCCCACGATCCAGCCCCGAGCATCTCACCAGGCTTAGACCAGGACCCCGCACCCTGCGGAACCGGTTTATCCCCCCCCCCCCCCCCCCCCCCCCCCGGGATGGAGCCCTCCTGATCCCGGCCGGACGTCAGGGAGAACCGGGCTTTTCCTCGCATCTGGGATCCGTGCGGACGCGTGCAGGCCTGAGCATGTCTACGCGGGAGAAGGGGGTTCTCACCAAAGACAGCGTCAGCCTGCTGCCCTGTTTCTATTTCGTGGAGGTGAGATCTGGATCAGGAACCCTCTCTCTCCGTCTCCATCACACCGGAGCGTGTGGATTTAGTTTGACGCGGTTGTGTAACTGTCATCAAAGATCTATGAATAGACATCAACCTCAACACGAGGTCCCTATAAATAATAAGTCAATTGGCGAAGTGATTGACTGGAAATATTTATTTTGTTATTTTAATGCGGAGGGTATTAGTAAAAATAATAAATACAAACACGAGAATAACGGTAACGGTGATGTTAACCTGCGAAATGCAATCCACTATGCTGTGCAAATGAGATATAAAAATAGTGAGGAGCTCCTCTGTGGTATGCTCTTGTTCTACAAGACAGAAATCACATGATTTCACCAGGTTTTTGTCTTTAAAAAGAAAACTATAGTAATTAAATTACATATTTCTCTTGGATGAGTGAGACATGTGTTTGTAAATGTACTGTTCAGACAATTTTACAAATGTGTATATATATATATGTATATATGTATATATATATATAGATAATGAGGAGAGTGAAGAGCAGATTTCTCACTCTTCCAAGAAGCATGAAGAAACTCCATTGTGACAGGTAGTGCAGCCATGATGAAAAGGCTTTAGTGTTTAGTGGTGACCAAATGTGATCCATCTTACAATAATGGAGTGTCCCTTTCCCTCTCTGTTTTCACGTGAGGAGTTACACATGAGAATGTTACGTAAATGCAATGATTTGAAAAAAATCCAAGTGCAGACAACGGGCGGCTTTTGGTTACTGTCACTCATTCCGTGGCTGCATACTTTATTCATGCTCTAATTCACCGCTGGCCTGTGGCTCCAAAATCAAACTGGCATCATGTATTATAAATTTGCCTCTAATACTCTGTGATGGTTGCGTTTGACAGTAACATTTCTTCTGGATGCCTTAACCAAAAGGGACTTTCGAGGTGTTCTGACAATTATTTTATTGAAGTGGATTTATTTAATATATTGTTTTTCAAACTTCAGAATTCAGTTTTTCTAATTTCCATAGTGGTAAAAGTGTAAAAAAAAAAGTTTGCATTTTTACAAACGGCAGGCGTTTAAAAGTGGGTCGATTCCGTGAGTTAATTGTAGGGTAAGTACAGTGAAGTGAAGCCCATAATCAAACTCACTGGGGCTCATTACACGAGTGCACGTCACCAGAACAGAGCGGGGGCTGTCGCCCGCTCGCTCCGGCCAGCCCTGCTCTCCGGTCAGCCCTGCTCTCCTGCCAGCCCGGCTGCCATGTCCCATATGGAGAGAAAATCAGAGGTTAGCGATGCCAGTGGATTTGTTTCTCCCCGAAGAGCTCTACCTCTGCTGTTAGAGCTTATGTCACCTCTCTGCTCATTTAACATGAATTTTTCATGGCGATAAGTCTTGGATCTGTCTTGCATGAGACAGGGCCCTCTTGTGTAGTTCGGAGCCTGTGCTTTGTTCAAATAATTTTGACATTCACAAATAAACCACATGATTAAAAAAAAACTGGGATTTCATAATGCAAAAGATACCATTAAATTTACATGTTTTAAACATTTCTATTGCTAAAAATACCTTGTGACCTTTAATGCTTTCAACCATTGTCTCCTGGGCATTTGGAGAATGTTAGAGTAGCATTATTTCTAGGCAAAGATCAAGAATAGAACCTATAGAAATTGGTGCTTTTGAGACTCCACTGTCTGATTGCACATGTGCTGATAATGAGCAGGTGGAGATCTGTTGGGAAACTGGCTGGATGATCTACATACGTTTGGACAAAGTGCAACGAGACCTAGCTGTGATGCCTCAGGCCTCTTTTAGCCCAAAGTGGAACAAAATGGAGGCTGAACAACTGTTATCCTAGGACGGGGGAAAACATAAGATTAAACCATGTAACGTAAGGGAGGGACACAGCCATTAGCTGAACCAACCTTATATCAGCTTCTGGGGATCAGTGGCCTATCGAGACTGACTAATACCCGTGCTTCTTCTTCCAAGTGCCTTTTTGACTTCTAACTATGCTTACAATTACTTTAGTACAAGTACTTTATTTACTTAACTAATTCATTTCACACCGTCTGACTCATATCCATCACTAATACTTGCAGACAATGTGACCCACCTTACAATAGGTAATCTGTAAAGTGATGTCAGTTAGTAGCTCCATTTAATTCAGTAGGTTTTAACGCCATTGGCCAAAACAAAACTGTTTCTGACCTGTATCTGTCAAAAAAGTGGCTTTTCTCTGTAGGATTTGCATGTTGTCCCTGTGCAATCAAGGCTCTATCCACATCACAGCTTTTTCAACCATGATGTCACAACCTGCTGTAAACCTAAATGGCCCATTGTGGGATAAAATAGATAAATTAGACACTTGTATAGTTTCAAAGCAGATTAACAAACATCAGAGCCTTACATTTGAAGTAGTTTGCAAGCCAAGAGCTTTAGTTTTGGTACTAACTCCATGAGACGTTCCCAGTATTTCAAGGCACATACTGATAGTCTATCTGTATGTTCTCAGAAAGGAATTGAAATGACACCCCTTTTCTAGACATACAAAGAACCAGTCAGTAAAAGGTGCTGTGGGCTTACATGTAGTTGTACTGACATGCTCCAACCATTCTCGTGGCCAGTGGGGGACATGGTCTGCACACAATAAGAAGGTCCTCTCAGAGGTTATGTATGCAGATCTCTTCGGTCTGCAGAGACCTAACCATGTATGGGTGGTATAACCGGCTTTTATGTGGCAAATTATTCCCCTACAGGCTGAAGAACTGAAAATGCCAGAAGAGCAACAGCTTTCACCATAAAGAAAAGATCTTCCAGACTATAACTGAGCCCTAACAGACCTCCAACAACAATATGAGCTAGCAGCAGCACTCTGGCTTCTGCTGTACTCTTTATTCCTATCCTCTGTCAGCACTACAGCACAACTGAAAAAGCTGTTTGTGGGAAATAGACGGAATGATGAAACGAAGAAAGGGCAGAGATTTGCTCAGTTTAGAGGAAAATAGGGTGCGACAGTGATAGCCTTTGGAAGTGACAGAAACAGATTAGCATTAAGGTGAGACAAAGGGGAGATTGGCAGTGAGTGTGAGCAAATGTAGGCCAGTGGAACATCTCTGTTTAGCTGAGCTCTCCTAGAGGAGGTTTTCAGGGAAAGAAAGCCTAAGAAATGAGTCAAATCATGGTCAGTCATTGATTTCTCCTTTATTTCACCACCTTGCTTTGTAAGTTCTCACCTAATTCACTCATTACTGTCTTTAAAACTACATATTTTATTTGAAAGCTATTCAAATTTAAATTCAAACACTAACTGCTTTGTAAACCAGCCATTCTCTCATCATCTCCAATTACTAAAGCTCTTTGGGGTTGAACATTAACTTTTTTATCTCTCTTTTGTTGTCTTAATAAATATAAAATATATAAATATCACATACAGCTTCACAGGAAGTAGCTTCACCCTCACAGCACGTAAATAGTGATCGATGTTTATTTTTTTGTTTTTTGTGGTTTTTACTCCTTTGTCTGTATGGATTTACTGGTCTT